AAATTAAAGGCCCAAGGAAATAAATTTTCCGCTTCCCTGGACGAATGGACTTCAGCTGGTAACCAACGTTACATGAACATTAATGTTCATTGTTCAAATTTCCAAGGCAAGGTATATAGGAATCTGGTACTAGCGAGAATAACTGGCAGGGCAACGGCGGAGCGTTGTGCTAATATTTTGAAGGCCAAGTTAGTATCATATAGTTTAACTTTGGAAGAGGACATAGCATGCGTAGTGACTGACGGAGCAAGCGTGATGTGTGCTATGGGTCAACAGGTGCCTTCGTACCATCAATTATGTTTCGCACATGGTATCAAATGTGCAGTGCTGGATGCTATATACAAAAAGAATCAAGATGAGCAAGAAGAAGAAGGGGAAAATCAGCAGAAAACAAAGACGAGACAAATGAGGATATTTTGACAGACTCTGACTGCGATAGTGAAGAAGGAGGATTTGTAGTTGAGCAACATCTGAACGAAAACAGAGACCTACATTTATACAGGGATGTCAATTTAAAAAATGTAATAGATAAAGTGCGAAAAATAGTTAAATTTTTTAGGAAGTCATCCACCAGAAAAGAGATTCTCGATAACTATCTTCAAGAAGAACAGAATAAAATGGGTTTGATCCTAGACTGTAAAACTAGATGGAGCAGTTTAGCCGATATGATCACAAGATTTTTGGCATTAAAAGACCCTATATTAAAGACTTATTGATTTAAAGTACGATACCACGTTTATTTCAGGTGTGCTGGCTTTACTGCAGGAATTGTCCACTTCTTTAAATATTGTAAAGGCAATAGTAGAGGCGCTGTGCCAAGAAAATGCAAATCTGCTTACTGCAGAAACAGCCCTTCAATTTATGGTTGCGAAACTTGAAAAGACAAACAGTTTTATCAGTGACAGGCTACTCGAAGCGCTGAAGAATAGAATTGCTCAGAGACGCCTACCAAATTTAATCTGCACATTAAAATATCTCCACAATCCCAGTAAATATTATGCAGAGCCACCTTCGTCTACCTTTCCATCACCAGGCAATAACATTATTACAGAAGTAATAACTGAGATTAACGAAAGATACTTTCTAAAAGACAGATTTCAGATAATGACGAAGATGACATAACCTTATTTCAACATCAGCAACAAAACGATTCACACCAGAAAACATCTGAAATGACCTTTAAAGAAGAGTTACAAAAAATGATAAATGACACTAATTCCGCCACTCCTTCGACGTCTACAGCAAATTTATCAGATAGAGAAGAGTTAGAAACGTCAGTGCGAATGCAGATGGCGCTATTTGACAGAGGAGGTCCTAGACAAGTCAATTTGAGCCAAGCGTATGACTTCCTCATGTGTATACCACCTACAAGTGTAGAGTGTGAAAGGGTGTTTTTATCAGCAAAATACATTTGCAACCATTTAAGATGTTCTTTAAAAGATGATTCCCTAGACGCGCTAAGTTTCCTTAGGTCCCACTTCCAAGGAAAATGTTGAAGATTAAATATATTTTTATTGTAGGATAGGCTGCAAGCCTCTCTGAAACTCTTCACCGCTGCATTGGAAGACGTTTTCAAGCTTCTGAACTGGAAAGAAACGATATTAACATCAATGGCGGGTACAGCACTTACCTTCGATTTGCCGACGATATAGTCCTTATGGCAGAATGCTCAATGACCTCAATAGTGTTTCCTAACGGATAAGTCTTAAGATGAACATGGACAAAACAAAGATCATGTTTAATGTCCATGTCACACCTATGCCGGTAGTTGTTGGGAGCACTAAGCTCGAAGTCGTTGACGAGTATGTTTACCTGAGACAAATAGTCCGACTAGGTAAGTCCAACTTCGACTGAGAGGTCAATCGACGGATTCAACTCGGTTGGGCAGCGTTTGGGAAATTACGGCACATCTTCTCGTCAGGTATACCTCAAAACTTGAAGAAGAGACTGTACAACCAGTGTGTGTTGCCAGTGATGACCTATGGAACTGAGATGTGGTCCTTCACTGCTGGCCGGATCAGGAAGCTCAAGGTCGCTCAGCGAGCTATGGAGAGGGCTATGCTCGGAGTTTAGAAATGAGAATATCCGCAGTAGAACCAGAATGACCGACATAGCCCCACGGATCGGTAAACTGAAGTGGCATAGCTTGAAGAACCGACAACCGATGGGGAAAAAAGGTTCTCGAGTGTCGGCCTCATACCGGCGGACGAAGTGTAGGGTGTCCCCCCACTAGATGGAGTGATGATCTGGTAAGATATACAGGAAGTTGATGGATGCAGGTAGCTCAGGACCGTGCTTTGTGGCATTCTTTGGGGGAGGCCTATGTTCAGCAGTGGACTTGTGAAGGGCTGTAATGATGATGATGATGAAGTATGTTAAACACAGCTTTTGGGTCACCTCCGTTAAATCTTTGAAACATTTCACGACACCAATCAACATGACGGAGTTTTTGGGCCTCTGTCAAATTATGAGGTATCCACCGGGCACAAAGCTTCCTGATCGCTAAATGTTCATGGAGGATTTTGTGCACTTGACTCATACCGATGCCTAAGCTTGTCCGAATCTGCTGATAAGTTAACTCTTTTGTCAGTCTCTGATGTTATCTTCAGCCGTCGCCGTAGAAGGCCGTTCCTCACGCAGATCATCGGTGAGATTAGTGCGACCACGCTTAAACTCATTAAACCAGTTGTAAACAGTGGCACGAGATGGGGCTTCATCGTGAAAGTCCAAAATCTATCATAACTTTCTTGTTGACTTAAATGACATCGAAAGTCATAAAAAATCATTGCACGAATTTTTTATCGCGTTAACTTCATGCTGACGTGACAGACAATTTTCAATTTGTCACCAAATCGTAAATAAATGACAAATTAATAAAATATATACACAATATTGGCAAAGAGTTCCATTTTCAAAAATTTTACGTATTTTTTTATTACATCGTTTACAAGTGGACAGTTGTGAAAACTTTCAGTGTCGCCCTCGTAAACAAACCAAGTGCTAATTTCTATTAAGTCGATAGTTTGAGGCTTCTTAAGTTGAAGTAAAATTTAGAAATTGAACCTGTTTGTTACCTCATATTGTAGGTATTTGTTATTCAAATTTCAAACAAAGTGAACTACTATGGGGTTGTTTTAGACGATCAATCGCAATGAAAACACACAATTCAAGTAATCATTATAATCGGAATAAAGTTCATTCTCTAGTAATGGAAACCAACGTTATTTTATATTTTATTTATATTTATCTCTTAGATACCGAATTACCGCTAAATATATTTGGCAATATAAAAAATAATGAATACATTAAACTCGAGATATTTCAATCACACCTAACTAATATACATATAATCATATCGAACATAAATAATATATTACAGCCAGGAGCCTCAAACATACTAAAAAGATGAGATCTGTTTTTAGTGTTAATATCAAGTTATAATCAGACAAGTTTTATTTTTAATTTATTAATGTTATTTTCTTATAATTTTTTTTTATTGACTAAGGACCAATCTAACATACCCTTTTATACTTAATTTATATTAACGAGGCTGATTTATTTAAGTTTAAAATTTACACATTTCTCTGACTGTAATAAGATAACATTACTCTAAAAACATTTATTTTGGAATATATTTCTCTACATATAATACGAAATATTATATGAACAGATAGCTTAAAATATAGATGAATGTAACAAAATGTTCTTAAAACCTTAATTTTATATAAAATAACTTATGCAGATCTAACACAATAAACAATAAAGTTTTTTTTTTTTAGATTATGATAAGCAAAACGTTCTGTTTGCATTTTTCATGCAAATAACACTATTGAAGAACAAAAAAAAATCTTAATATTCTATAGATACGTATTTTAAAAACACTGGATAAAATTATTATACATCATGTTTCCCAACATTAAGGTGAAGACAGACATAGCAAGTAGTTTTGACGGTGATTTTACGTTTGTTCAGGTAGAAGAATTTGGAATAACATTTATGTGGAATGTGATTACATTATATATTATATGACGATAGATAAGTGCCACAAATCAAGCAACGTCTGTCCTCACTCTCAGATATTATACACCATTCTTTGCACACATATCAATACACATACATACATCGAAATAAACCCTGTCCAGGAATTTTAAATAAGGAAGGACTATACGACATTCTCTTTTCTATTATCTCAAAGACACAGCCTATAAACAGATGCACCGACAGGTTAATCTTTCAAATTTTGACCACTTTTAAATAATCACTGTTCTATTTTTTTTTTTTTACAAAAGTACACCATTGTGATGAAAACTATCATAGGTATAAAAGCTAGTAGTCGATTACTATATGATTTTACGTACTTTGAAAATAGAATCATGAGCGGTTGAAAATAAGTGCTAAAATTGTTTAACAGTCTCAATTAATAATTGTGACAATATTGTGAGCGTGATTACACTTGAAAATCGTACGGTAAAAGATTTTTGTAATGGACGATTGTAATGGGATTATTGAAAACGACGATTGCTAATTCCAGACACTACATTGTTATTAACATGGACGTATAACGATACTGAAGTTTGGCATTGCCCGTTAGTTCTAAACAGGGATGTATCGAGCGTGCGGAATGCCTTTGCCCAAATGTAGAATATAATAAAACAATCTGTACTTTCGTGTTTTAACCATGAACAAATAAAAATCTATTGATTTAAAAACTTAAAATAAACAATTTTTCCATGACAAACACCGTTATATAATATAATCTAAGTAATATGTTAATAATTTATTTTAGCAACAAAACAATTGAAATCTCAGAGCTAATACAACTTTAAACATTTAGTAACGTATAATCTCAAATCAATCATCAATTCGTGTAAGATTTTAAACCATTTACAATCGACCATCGATAGTGTGTCATTTGAAAAGAACAATAATGTAGTACGTGTTAAGTTCGAATTTGGCGAGAGCTAGGGGAAACGAGGGCGAGGCCGTCGTCAGTCCTCGACTCATTTGATGGCGCGCGCTTCTGGTAGAAATGCATCCCAGTAACGGATCGACTGAAAATAAATGTGTGTTTTAACGAAAACAGGTCGTGTGATATAAGAGGCGAAGTGATATAACAGACGGCTTAGCGAAATGTCCAGAACTTGTTACCTTTGATAGATGGTGCTATGGTGTAAGGTGCTCTTCATCATCATTGCAGCCTTTCACAAGTCCACTGCTGAACATAGGCCTCCCCCAAGTAATGCCACAAAGCACGGTCCTGAGCCACCTGCATCCATCGACTTCCTGCATATCTTACCAGGTCGTCTCACTCCATCTAGTGGGGGGACGCCCTACACTTCGTCCGCCGGTACGAGGCCGCCACTCGAGAACCTTTTTTCGATCCCATCGGTTGTCGGTTCTTCGAGCTATATGGCCGGCCCATTGCCACTTCAGCTTACTAATCCGTTGGGCTATGTCGGTCACTCTGGTTCTACTGCGGATATTCTCATTTCGAAGTTTATCACGCAGAGAAACTCTGAGCATAGCCCTCTCCATAGCTCGCTGAGCGACCTTGAGCTTCCTCATCCGGCCAGCAGTGAAGGACCACGTCTCAGTTCCATATGTCATCACTGGCAACACGCACTGGTTGTACAGTCTCGTTTTCAAGCTTTGAGGTACCTGACGAGAAGATGTGCCGTAATTTCCCGAACGCTGCCCAACCGAGTTGAATCCGTCGATTGACCTCTCAGTCGAAGTTGGACTTACCTAGTCGGACTATTTGTCCCAGGTAAACATACTCGTCAACAACTTCGAGCTTAGTGCTCCCAACAACTACCAGCATAGGTGTGACATGGACATTAAACATGATCTTTGTTTTGTCCATGTTCATCTTAATGTTAATCTTAAGACCTATCCGTTGGGAAACACTATCGAGGTCATTGAGCATAGTGCTTAGGTCCTCCAGCGATTCTGCCATAAGGACTATATCGTCGGCAAATCGAAGGTGAGTGATGTACTCGCCATTGATGTTGATACCGTATCCTTTCCAGTCCAGAAGTTTAAAAATATCTTCCAATGCAGCGGTGAAGAGTTTCGGGGATATGACGTCACCCTGTCTTACACCTCTCTGCAATTGGATAGGTTTCGTACTCTGGATGTACTCGGATAGCCATCGTAGCCCTACTGTACAAGCACTTCAACACTTCGACATACCGAGAGTCAACTTGGCACCGCTGAAGGGACTGCAGCACCGCCCAAATTTCGACGGAATTAAAGGCTTTCTCATAGTCCACATATGCCAGACATAGTGGCAAATTGTACTCCTCGGACTTCTGTACAATTTTCCGAAGGGTATGTATGTGGTCTATGGTGCTAAAGCCTGTTCGGAAACCGGCTTGTTCGGGTGGCTGGAAGTCGTCAAGTCTGCGCGCGAGACGATTCGTAATGACTGTCGAAAACAGCACGTAGACGCGGCTCAGAAGGGAAATCGGTCTGTAGTTCTTCAAGAGAGCGTTGTCGCCTTTCTTGAAGAACAAGACCACCGCACTTCTGCTTCACGCCTCTGGTGTAATGGCACCATGGAGGAAGGAATTAAAGAGCTTCTGAAGGACTTCAAGTACCGGTTTTCAGAAGCAGAAGTAGAAGCTCCACTGTAATTCCATCCTCACCTGGGGCCTTGCCGTTTTTAAGGTGCTGGAGAGCCATTCTAATCTCGCTCAGACTGACGTCCGGGATATCTTCGGAATAGTGTCGGATGAGACTCGCTCTTGGATCGTTACTCACACTTGCGTGTGGCTCCAACGATGATGTGTACAGCTGCCCATAGAACCTCTCAATCTCACTCAAAATCTCAGGTGTACCGGAAATGACTCGGTCTTCAGCTTTGACAGTTGGCTCTTTCTGGCAGACAGATCTCTAGCAAAGACCTTGGAGCCCTGGTTCCGCTCGATCGCTTCTTTAATACGAGCAGTATTAAAGTTGCGTAAGTCCCGCCGCATGCATTTGGAGATCTGTCTGTTCAGTTGCCTGTATGCTGTCAAATCTACTGAAGACTGCAGCTTCATATCCCGTCTAACAGTCATGAGATTAAGAGTGTGATCGGAGAGTTTTTGTGTTCTTCTGCGGCAGGTCTTGCAAAACCGCACCTCTCCGACCTCATGGACAGTTTCCACGAGCTTGTCATTCATATCGTCCACTGCATTGTAATCTTCTAGGCACTGAAAACGGTTTCGTAGCTCGAGCTGAAAGGTTTCGGGACTTTGGATTAGAGCACGAGGGGGTCGGAGCGTTGACTTCATTAGACGTGACCTCTCCAACTTAACGTTTATGTTCAGTGTACCTCTAACCATTCGGTGATCTCTGCCGGTTGTCACCCTCGTGGTCGCTGAGACATCACTGAACAGTTGTCGTCTGCCCGTCATAATGAAGTCAATCTCATTTTTTGTCGAATCGTCGGGGCTTGATCAGGTCCACTTCCTGTGGGACCGCTTCTGGAAGAAAGAGTTCATCATAAAGAGTCCCTCTTTCTCCATGAAGTCGGCCAGCTGCTGGCCCCTTGGGTTCCGTTGCCCTATTCCGAATTTCCCTACTTTCAGCTCACCGTTCTCTCTTGTGCCTAGTTTTGCGTTGAAGTCTCCCATTAACACCGTATAGGGGGTTTTGGAGGTATGCATGGCTCTAGAGATATCCTCATACATTTCCTCCACCTCCTCATCGGGGTGTGCCGAGGTTGGTGCGTAAACCTGTATGACCTTCAGCGAATATAGTTTGGTGATTCTGAGTATAAGGTACGCAACCCTGGTCGACACACTCCCAATCTTTACAACGTTATTAACGAGAGTCTTGTGGACGATAAATCCGACACCTCCTTGAGACAGATGGTCACCCTCCCGGTGATAGAACAAGTTGCCAGATTCGAAGATTACCGTGTCCTCCCCCTCTCTTCGGACCTCGGATAATCCTATGATATTCCAGCGCAACTTGTCTATCTCTTCATCCAGCTCCAGGATCTTCTCGTCAGTCCTCAGGGTGCGTGCGTTATAAGTTGGCAACCGAACCTCCACCGGAGATTCTTAGCACCCCCTGCCCCGCCGTTACCATGGTCGCCACCGTAGCCAGGAATAGCGGGGCTGCAGGGGACTGGGGGCCGTCTCTTCGTTACTCTCATGGGGGGTATATTGCCATAGTTGCCACGCATGGCGAGCGGGTTGGCAAGTGCAGTTTTTTTTATTGCTGTTTTGCTATTATCAGAAAGATGCTGCTGCCCATCCTCCGCCTCAGTTTCCCTCTGTCGCCTCTTACGACACCCACGGGAAGACATGGGGTAGTGAGTATTCTTTCCCGCCACTACACGGGTTACCCACACTGATTACATAAAATACTTCCTGTAGGATATTATGGGAGACAGTAAATCCAGATAAAAAGAACAATTTTTTACGGGTTAAAAAAATTACAAATAATCAATACATTTAACTACTATAAATTAAAAAAAAATGCGGCAGCCAACACGCCTGTCAAGCGTAGCAACTATGGCCATATTTACTACGAGACAATGTATGGGGAGGCCTATGTTCAGCAGTGGACTTTTGATAGGGTGTTACGGTAATGGTACACAAATACAGGATATGAATAGAAGTACAATTTCATATATTATACGCGGTGGCGATAAAGTTATCATATTAAATGAAAATACTTATCCTACATAACGTTCTTTGAACATACACAATTAAACAATAAATAACAATTAACATTCTAGTCGCGGTAGCCCTTTTTTTCGTTTTTTGCCTAATTACCTGTGTCGATGCCGAGTAAGCACTGCGCACCTGCCGCAACGTTGCCGCTTTTACAGGTCATTTCATGTCAGTAAACTAATATTATCAAATTGTTTTGTTTTGTGTCAATTTTTACGCTATTTATTTTGTTTGAAAAATGCATTGTTTTATTTTTGGTAGAATTATTTATTTTATTATTTTAACAGATATATGAACTTGTATCTACCGTCGTGTTATTTAATATGATAACCTAATCGCCACCAAGTATGTAAAGTAGAAAAACAAATATATAACAGTATATTATATATAAAAGATGATACATGATTTCTTATATTTACGCGAACATTTTACATTGAATAAAATATTTTTTACGAATTTTATCAAGTTATTTCGTTATTCGTCGCCAAATGAGAACAGTTAGGAACCATTATTTTATGCATACACGAGCGATAAAAGGCAATATTTGTTTGATTTTATCTACCGACTTCAAAAAGGAGGAGGTACTCAATTCGACTGTATGTTTTTCTTTTTTTATGTGTGTTTCCTCATAACTTTTTCCTGGGTGGACTGACTTCGATGATTCTTTTTTTATTTGAAAGCTGGTGCTTCTCATGTGGTCCCATATAAATTTGATCAAGGTCTGACCAATAGGTTTTGAGTTATCTTTAATAATTTATATTGAAATCGGTTGTACAAAATTTTTGATTATTGTGTAACAATTGAGTGAAAATTGATATTTTAGATAATAAAGACACATCATGTAGTTACACATTTTTTTGCAATATATTACAATCGAAGTAATAACATAATAATAATATAAAATTAAAAAATTTGTACAACCGACTTCAATATAAATTATTAAGAATAACTCAAAAACTATTGATCAGACCTTCATCAAGTTTATATGGGACTACATGAGAAGCACCAGCTTTCAAATAAAAAAAAAGAATCATCGAAATCGGTTCTCCCAGAAAAAAGTTATGAAGTAACAAACATAGTCGAATTGAGTACCCTTATTAGAGCCTTGGAAGACCGTAACGAAATTTGGAATCAGTTTTTAATTCCGGATAGAGACTTTTTATTAATAGTATGGCGACGAATAATATCATCAAGAAGCATAATAGCAAAAAATGTCAAGAATAACGAAAACAATGCTAAACTTACTTGAGCCTGATGTTTCATGTGTTCCTCGAGGTATCTTAAAATAGTGGCTCGCAATTCGCTTACTCGCGTTTCTTCCCATCTCTCCAATTCCTTTTTAATGACACGGGAAATGGTATCGAATTCTTGCTGCCCTCTTTCCACTTTCGCTTCCCACTGGAAAATAACATTTATTTTATAAAAAGCACATAATTTTAAATATAAAATATATTCATAAATACAAAACGTATACCTCAATAATTTCATTGGAGGCTTGCTCAATCTTCTCCGGTCTATTTGCAAGTTCCGCTTTAGCCTTGTTCTCTCTCCGTTTTGTCAGTTGCATTTGAGCGTGTTGCCAGTTTTGGAATACCTACCGAAACAATTCAGAATATAGCAACAGAATGGTACGAGAACCCGTGAGCCTTCTCTTTCCGTTGGTGTCTTAAAAGTCGATTAAGGGAAAAGTCAAAAATATCTTGTAGCTTCTGACAGATGTCGAAATATCCATCTTGTAAATAGAATAAGTTGATTATTTTATTTTTATTCTCCGGTCGAGTCGACCCATTTGTGCTACAACCATAATATAGCTCCAGCGTGGCTCAACCACATATGCAGTTGATTTTTACCGCAACAAATTACCGTATAAGTTATAATTACTATAACTACCATTTGAAACTTGTCTAATATTTAAAATAGGTGAAACTATATCTAATAAACTTAATTATTTCGGAATCATTGGACTACTACAAGAAAGCGATACACTGAACATTAAAAAGATGAAGCGACAATCAAGATGTATGATGTACAAGATGTAGCAACAATCCGTGAAGTAGTTGTTAGTAACAATATCCAAGAGGCCCCCCGACATTACAATAGATTTGATAGACCATAAATTCTCGCGAAGGTACACAGATTGCCACCAGAGATTGTTCGAAAGGTTATATAAATATATAAAAAAATCCTACTATCAATAGAAATGGTGGCTGGGTGATACCGGCTGCAATCAGCAATCCCAAGGAATTCGTAGAATAGAATAGAATAATTTTTATTCAATATTGATTACAAATAACTCTAATTGAAAGTCATTTTTTTACTTTACTACTGGTTCGAAAAAAATCCTCTGTCCTGGGAAGAACCAGCAAGAAACCCAGCGGGACTTTTTTTAAAAATAAATTTTACAATATAAATGATTACAAACTATTTACAAAATTTATTTTAGAGACAGCTTGGAAGCGACCACCTCATTCCCAGGGGTTATTATCAACCATGTATTAATTTATATTGTAATAACCGTTTTTATACAGCTTTTGTTTAATTAAATATTTAAACTTGGTAATAGAGATACCTTGTATATTTTCTGGTACTTTGTTGTAATAGCGTATACATTGCCCCAAGAATGAATTACGGACTCTGTGGAGTCGAGAGACTGGTATCACTAGCTTGTGTTTGTTCCTAGTGTTTACAGAGCTTATATCACTTTTTTTTACTAAAACTATCTTTGTTTTTGTGAACATACATAAAATTTTCGTAAATATACTGATAGGCCAAAGTTAATATATTTATTTGTTTAAAATTTTCTCTAAGAGACTCGGTTTAAGGTTGTAAATAGCTTCTATGACCCTCTTCTGTAAAACAAAAACAGTTTCAAATTTCCCTATAGCAAAATCCCATAAGACATTATGCTATGGAAATAAGTGAAATAAACTAATCTAGCTGTCTCGACACTAGTGAGATCTCTAATCTTTTTTACAGCATAAGTTGCAGAGCTTAGTCTGCTTGCTAGTTTGGATATATGGGGTCCCACTGAAGCTTTGCGTCAAGAGTGATGCCAAGAAAAACAGAGGATTCAACAGAGCTCAGTTCTGTCCCATTTAAAAACACATTCGTATTCAGATTTTTAACATTCGTTGTTGTAAATTTAAATACATTTAGTTTTATTGCTGTTTAAATTCAGATTATTAACGTTAAACCAATGCACTATTCACTTAGCATTATTCACTTCGTCACATTTTAATGATAGACGTTTAAGTTTAAAAATCAAGGAAGTATCATCAGCAAATAATACTATATCATGATGAGCCCTTACAAGGGAGGGAAGACATTAATATACACTAAAAATAGGAATGGGCCAAGAATCAAGCCCTGAGGGACACCCATCTTTACGGACGACCCGGAAGAACTTTTACCATTGGTAAATAACTTTCTGCATTCTATTACTTCAATATGAAATAATAAGTTTAAGCGTTGTGTTCTTGACACCATAGTACTGTAGCTTTCTGATTAATGTCACACGGTGAACACAGTCGAAGGCCTTGGAAAGGTCACAAAACACACCCAAAGTATCCTCTGAATTCTCCCATGTACAAAAAATGTGTTTTATAAGTTCAACTCCGGCGTCGGTGATTTTTATGAACTAATTTATTTATATTAAAAAAAGTTAACATCTGATCTAAAATATTTTTTTTCAAAAATTTTACTTAAACTTGGCGATCATTATTATTAATATACGACCAGATTAAAATAAAAGTATGACTTTATTATGTTTCATTAGATCAGGAAACACACCAGATTCGACGCTTGTATTAAAACTGTGGCTAGATAAGGTGCTATAGTATCTATTATAGATGCAATAACTTTAGTGTAGGTTTGTAAAACCAAACCCAAGCATACCACTGCAAGACTTCAAGGTAACGAGTAAGGTCATTCTGCGTAGTTCGGACCAAAACAAATAAATAAAAGCTAAAGGCAGCCCAGGCCCCATGACATCAGGATGTCAAACACCTCAATCCCTGCGTGACCATCGGTGCCTCGTAACAATCGAAACGTCGGGAGTTAAAATTAAATTATTACCATCTCTTAGGAAAAATGAAATTCAAGACTCACGTTTGCAATATTTTGAGAACAAAACGAAAGCAAACAAATTTACATAATTATCATACCTTAACTCTTTCATGAAAGACGTCCTTAATAGCACCGATCAGGCCAAGGTAGTCTTTGATGTGCTCGGTTAGAACATAAAAGTCTGTATTGGACTGCTCCACTCTTAAATGTTCAATCTGTGAAAAAATATCTTTCAATTGTCTTAATTGTTAAAACATATCATTATGTATAATATTATATACGAGACATGATCGCAACTTCGTATGCGTGGAACAATGTTACCTTAAGCCTGGCGTCGACTAGAGCAGAAATGCGTCGAATCGAAGCGAGTCACATTTATTCCTAGTGCGTCCATCTCTGAAGAATCGAATCGAATTGTTCATTCATCGCAAATTCTTCATCAAAATAGGTCGTTTTTACATCATGGACAGCTCGTCCATGATAATGTGGATTTTCACGATTAAACTATTCTGGATATTGTTGGACCAGTGATATCAATAGTTCTTCATTCATTTTTATTTAAACAAAAAGATTCTTACGAAAACGAAATAGAACTTAATAAAAATACGTTGGCGCGCATTCGCTTCTCCGCGTCGACTGAGGCGCGCCGAGTTGACTCGAATCGCACCGGCGAAGAAATTGGCCTGCCAAGCAATTTACGCGGTCGATTCAATTCGGCGCGCCGCGGCTCGTCGCTAATGAACGCAGTTTCAAAGTAAATATATAGGAGGCGACTTCCTGTGATTCGATTCGACTCGGCTCGATGAGCCTAGTGGACGCTTAGCCTAAAGCCTGGCGTCGACTACAGCAGAAATGCGTCGAATCGAAGCGAGTCGCATTTATTCCTAGTGCGCCCATCTCTGACGAGTCGAATCGAATTGTTCATTCATCACAAATTCTTCATCAAAATAGGTCGTTTTTGCTCATGGACTGCTCGGATGAAGAAATGTTTTATTTCATCGTGATAATGTGGATCTTCATGATTAAACAATTTTGGATATTGTTGGACCAGTGATATCAATAGTTCTTCATTCATTTTTATTTAAAAAAAAGATTTTTACGAAAACGAAATAGAAATTAATTAAAATATGCTGGCGTGCATCCACTTCTCCGCGTCGATTGAGGCGCGCCAAGTTGAATCGAATCGCATTGGCGAAGAAATTCGCCTGTCAAGCAATTCGCGCGGTCGATTCAATTCGGCTCGCCGCGGCTCGTCGCTAATGGACGCAGTTTCATAGTAAATATATAGAAGGCGACTTTCTGCGATTCGATTCGACTCGGCTCGGCGAGCCTAGTGGACGCTTAGCCTTAAATCTACGTCAGCGGTAGAAGAACTTTGTATATTTTGAAAATAATATTTTTCGTTTTTGGAAAATTTGGATAAAATAAGTAGTTGAAACCAAAGTGGGCACAAATCGCGTTACGCAGCGCCCGTGGCAACGGCACCACAATACAGTCCGAGGTTGAACATTTATTTCAATTCTTCAGTTTTTTTTTTAATAAAGAGTTTGATTATCACTTGTGTTCGGGTTGTTTTGTGAATATTTATTTATTATTTTTATTAAAAAAACAACGTTACCCCCACAGTAGGATTTTCTGGTAGTTTACAAACATAAATTGCACGAGGACTAACATCGGGTCTTGACCCGGAACAATTATTTGTAAGCCATACAAATATTTGTTCCGTGCGGGATTCGAACCCGCGGCCCCCAGCTTAACAACTCATTGCTAAGCTATTGCGCCACGGAGCCGTCGAAAGATCGTAAAGTTCGGTGATGTGCCAGTGATAGTGAGGGCGAAAACTGGTAGCGATCACCGAATGGTTAGAGGCACACTGAAGATGATTTTTCCGGACCGATACGACTTAGGGACCTTCAAGAAAAGAGCGTACTCCTTTTTAAAAGGCCGGCAACGCATCTGCGATTCCCCTGGTGTTGCAGTTGTTCATGGGCGGCGGTAGTCACTTACCATCAGGTGAGCCGCATGCTCGTTTGCCCCCTCTCCTATAAAAAAAAAATCTAAAGGTTAAGTCGGTGTGGTCACCTTCTCGTGCAGGTCGGCGAGGTGCGAGAGCGCGCGCGAGAGCGGCGCGTGCGGGTCGGCGGCGGAGAGCGCGGCGGCGGCGCGCGCGGCGTCGTGCGAGCGCGCCGCCAGCTCGCGCCGCTCGCCCGCCAGCGCCTCGCACGCGCCGCACAGCCGCCGCAGCTGCGCCTCCAGCGCCTCCACGCGCACGCACCGCTCCTCGAACCACTGCCTCACCACACAACACGAACAACCACATAATATCTACGTAATACCCACATCTACTTATAACCTTTACTATACGTGGTAGAGCCACGCTGCAGCTATATTACGGTTGTAGGACGAATAGGTCGGTTCGACCGGGGTGGGATTACGCTCTTACAGAATACCAGCGTCAAATAGCAGCTTGATACTGCTCTGTTCTGTATGGTGAGTGTAGAGAACCCAAGACTCTTTCTACTAGAAATGAGGTATTCTATCTTAGTTCTCAGAGGGGTAACAATGCATCTGCATTTTGATTCTTAATCAAGGTTAAATGTAGATGTCTATGGGCCTCAGCATACAATTACCATCAGGTAGACTGTGTGCTCGTTTGTCATCGTTATTCTATTTAAAAAAATGTATAATAATCAGCAAACGACTTCTGCACGCACAACTGTTAAACGGGTGTAGTGGTGGTGTAACAATATCCACTACCCCATATCACCCCTTGAGTATCGTAAGAGGCAACAGAGGGAAACTAATCAGGAAATGGCAGCAGAGTATTCCTAATAACGACTTTAAATATAAAACTGCGGTTGCCAACCCTCTTGCCTAGCGTGGCAATTATGGCAAATATCCTCCCTATGAGGCAATCTATGGGGGAGTTTCATGTTCAGCAGTGGACTTTAATAGGCTGTAACGACAACTTGTGTACTTATGACCTTTAACGCGCAGATCCTTGCTCTGCTGATTTGTATGGGTAAGCACGCCCGCGCCTCATACCTTCCTCAAATGACACCGTATTATCGTTTTTCACATTTCACAGGCAATTGTATACTTCTAGACTGGAAATTCAAAATAAAACTAAAGGAGTTACGGAAAATTGACCGTAACCTAGTGCTCAATATATTAAGACTGCAGAAACCGTGTTATAGTATAAAAGTAGTGTAAGTCTTTGAAGAGATAATTTATCGCTCAACAGATGTCGCTAGTTAGAACTGTGGTGAAATTAATTGGTTGATATCTCGCAAACTAGTAATAATTTAAAGATTTCATGAATGCGTTGGAGTCATCCAAAGGAAAAGTGCTTTAAAAGCTTTTGATAAGATACTCGTAACTTAGTTGATTAATTGCTTGTTATTTGTAATCATGTTAACATGTATGGCCCCAAGTCAACTGACGTAACAGTAAGTAAATATAATTAAATCACGTTTTTTACACACATAAGAGTGAGTGACTAAGAATCTAAGAACAAATGAGGCATGATAGAGAGTACGAAACCTATCCAATTGCAGAGAGGTGTACGACAGGGTGACATCATATCCCCGAAACTCTTCACCGCTGCATTGGAAGACGTTTTTAAGCTTCTGGACTGGAAAGGATACGGTATCAACATCAATGGCGAGTACATCACTCACCTTCGATTTGCCGACGATATAGTCCTTATGGCAGAAATGCTGGAGGACCTAAGCACTATGCTCAATGACCTCAATAGTTTCCCAACGGATAGGTCTTAAGATTAACATGGACAAAACAAAGATCATGTTTAATGTCCATGTCACACCTATGCCGGTAGTTGTTGGGAGCACTAAGCTCAAAGTTGTTGACGGGTATGTTTACTTGGGGCAAATAGTCCGACTAGGTAAGTCCAACTTCGACCAAGAGGTCAATCGACGGATTCAACTCGGTTGGGCAGCGTTTGCGAAATTACGACACATCTTCTGGTCAGGTATACCTCAAAACTTGAAAACGAGACTGTACAACCATTGCATGTTGCCAGTGATGACCTATGACAATGCTGGCCGGATGAGGAAGCTCAAAGCCGCTCAGCGTTGGAGAGGGCTATGCTCGGAGTTTCTCTGCGTGATAAACTTAGAAATGAAGATATCCGCAGTAGAACCAGAGTGACCGACATAGCACACCGGATTAGTAAGCTGAAGTGGCAATGGCCAATGGGCCGGCCACATAACTCGAAAAACCGACAACCAATGGGGAAAAAAGTTTCTCAAGTGGCGGCCGCGTGCCGGCGGACGAAGTGTAGGGCGTCCCTCCCACTAGATGGAGTGACGACCTGGTAAGACATGCAGGAATTTGATGGAAGTTGTGGCATTCCTTGGGGAAGGCCTATGTTCACCAGTGGAGTTGTGAAGGGGTGTAATGATGAGAGCAATTGAAAGAAAAAAAAGAAAAGAAAATAAAACTAAAAAAGAACGAAATGGATTACAGAAGTGATTATCGAAATCTCTACATTATTCTGAAGATAGTGACAAAAATTTGGTCGGTTTGTTAATTAGTTTTCGAGATATCTTGTACACAGAGGATTTATGGACCACAGACTATAGGACATCAAAAGAGACATAATTTTTTATCGGATTTTTTTAAAATATAATTAAAAAAATTCGACAGTAGAGCCCAACCTCTCCGCTTTGCGTTCGAAGTGTGCAATTTTCTAACAAACACATTGCAACTATGGAAGTAGAATTTCAGAATGTTTAATTCTTTAAAAATTACCCCAAGACTATTGTGTGAACTATAATGAAAGTCGATTATATTCGAAAGCTACCTGGTAAGGGCTATGCAATAGCTTACTTTTCACTAATTAAATTGGATTTTGACATATATATTTTAGAGGGTCATAATATATTTATTATAAACCAACCACAGCTCATTGTTTAATACATTGTCAATAGATTTTTTAAATATTTATTTAAACTGCACAATTAATAAAATAAATGGAAAAATCTTACCGGATCAGATTCATCCATTCTGTATGTGATCTTGTTGACAGTTTCACCCACTTTGTTGAAAAGACGTAACATACCCGCGCCGCTAAGTGCAGAAGTGCTGGTGGCTTTTGGTAGCTCTGTATCTATTTAATAGTAAAAAAAAATTATGAGTAGGAGTGTCTTCAATAAACTTCCAGGAAAATTTGTGAGTTGTTGCCATGACTCTGCACTATGGACTCTTATGTCAGGCTTAGTCTAGTGTAACAGTGGACTGTATTAATGACAGATCTAGCATTTAACTCACCAATTACATTCAATTCTTATTGTGTTTGAGCTATATATTAAATTCAAGACACCAGTAATATAAAAATTTTATTTTTATAACATGCCTAAGAATATTACTTACCAGACTCAAGGAACTCTCTGAAGTCCGGATCAATGCAGAGGACTGGGTGCTGAGCGACACGATTTAAGAATCGCTCGAGAGCTGCTCGACGTCTCTCAACAAACTGAGAATGCAGACTAGCCGAGGGGTTTGAACCATTAGCATTTTCTGTTGATGGTGTTGAAGTCATTTTCATCTTTGTTGTGCCTGAAAATAATTAATTTTTAAAATCTGCCTATTTTTCAAGAATATACTACCGGTTCATAAAAGGAATATGTACATAGAATTAGCATTAGTCATGCTATTCCTCGTCATTGATCAGAATATTTATCAAAATGAAAATTTTTGAGAATACGCAGTTTGTTCAATAACATGTTTTTTTTTTAATAATAATTACTCACTGCAAAAAGACGACTATGTCAATGGTTTTAATGGACAATTAATTTTTTTTTATAGAATAAGGGTTGATACCGTAACCTTTCCAGTCCAGAAGCTTGAAAACGTCTTCCAATGTAGCGGTGAAGAGTTTCGGGGATATGACGTCACCCTGTCTTACACCTCTCTGCAATTGGATAGGTTTCGTACTCTGGTTCTGTACTCGGATAGCCATCGTAGCCCTACTGTACAAGCACTTCAACACTTCGATATACCGACAGTCAACTTGGCACCGCTGAAGGGACTGCGTTGCCAGTGATGACTTACGGAACTGAGACGTGGTCCTTCACTGCTGGCCGTATGAGAAAGCTCAAGGTCGCTCAGCGAGCTATGGAGAGGGCTATCTCGGAGTTTCTCTGCGTGATAAACTTAGGAATGAGGATATCCGCAGTAGAACCAGAGTAACCGACATAGCCCAACGGATTAGTAAGCTGATGTGGCAGTGGGCCGGCCATATAGCTCGAAGAACCGACGACCGATGGGGAAGAAAGGTTCTCGAGTGGCGGCCTCGTACCGGTAGGCGAAGTGTAGGGCGTCCCCCCACGAGATGGAGTGACGACCTGGTAAGACATGCAGGAAGTCGATGGATGCAGGTGGCTCAGGACCGTGCTTTGTGGCATTCTTTGGGGGAGGCCTATGTTCAGCAGTGGACTTGTGAAGGGCTGTAATGATGATGATAGAATAAGGGTGACACTCATTACACTCACCATACGAAACACAGCAGCATTATGTTGCTATTTTACGCTGGTATTCTGTGACAGAATGGACCTCCCCAGGTCTCGTGCAGACTTTTTCATGCTATAACCATAATATAGCTGTAGCATGGCTCTACCACGTAAAGAAAACAATGAAAAAACTTACCAACAATGCTTTTTTCCGGTGCAGGTGGTATTATTCGACCTGATCTAAGATATTTCTCTGTTAATTTCTCATGAAGTCCTAAGAAGTCGCTAAAACGTCTGAGCACGGTAAACTCGTGTCTGCTAAATATAGGCATGTTTGTTTTAGTAAGGACATGGTAAGCAACATATGAGCTCATGCCTTCTCCGATTTTTTGCGGCTCCGTTACTGTGATTATTATATTGTTGGCACGTTCTGTTGCAATCTGAAGTAGAGAGTTTTATTTTGATAAACAATACGTAAAAATACCATATACTATTTGAAAGGGACATATGGGTACCGCAATGACAAAAAAAACATTTTTAATGAATATAAAAAATAAAAATGTTTATGTATAATTAAAATACATGTTTTCTGCTACAACTTGCTAAAAATTTAGAGTTTTTTGTTTTAAATCTCGTATTACTATCGTCGACGACTGTATCTTTGAACGTGTGACGGTACCAGTGCCGGCATAGTCAAAGTTTTCTGCTACAATTTGCTTAAAATTTAGAGGTTTTTAAAATCTCGTATTACTATCGTCTACGACAGTATCTTTGAACGTGTGGCGGTACCAGTTTCGGCATAAGCAAAGTTTCGAGAACAGTAGCACCGCGCGCGCTCAAAATCACCTCTGCTGCACTTTTAAACAGAGTTCTTTGCCTTGTACTTCCGAATTGTGTGTGTTTTGCGCACCATTTTGCTGCTGTGTTGATACTTATTATTAATTAATAATAAATGATAATAAATTATTTTTATTGTATGTGTATTTTTTATTTATTATTTGAAAAGGATAAACAGATATAGTAACAATATCTAAAAAAACCTCCGACCGGGATTTTTTACATATTGTATTCATATAGCATTTCTAGGATAAGATTTAATACATAAAGAAGTAATTACAGTAAAAATTTCCAGAAAAATAAGCAAAACTTATGTATCAAGAAGTTAAAATTTTAAATAAGCAAAAATTGTTCAATAACTGTTATTATACTACAAAAGAGTATGTGATTGATAATAACAAATTGTACAAGTAGTTTAAATGTTTTCTTATTTAATTGTATAACATATCACATTGTAAATTACTGTTAAAAAAAATTTGTTCTACTGGGTTTCTTGCTGGTTCTTCCCAGGACAGAGGTTTATTTAGAGGACCAGTGGCAAAAGCATAAATAACTAAATTCAATAAGTATTCTTCTAACCTATATTGAATACAAAAAAAATCTATTCTGTTTTTTTCTAATTACTGGTGTCTGCATGCATGCATTACATATTGAATTATACTTAATATATTATCTTTTATCGCAGATAATGGTTTATAGCAATATAAAATAAATTATCAATAAACAAAAACAACAGTAGTGTAATACTCGTAGTTAAGGGTATAAGCTACAAAATTAAGATTTTTTTTTTGGGTAGAATCTATCGTAAGAAGTATTTTAGATAATAAATACAGTCCGGGGAAAATCTATAATAATAATACTATTTTAAGACAACTTGAAAAAAAAATTAAGAGATTATTAATTCAAGAACAAGTATTTTCTTTTGGATGAATGTTACACCAATATCTTTGCCACTATGAATAATTTTTTTTTTGTTAAATAGGCTATATGCCTCAAAGTTTTCCATTTAAATTTAAAGAATAAATGCTATCCCTAACGATGCAAAAAAGAGTAGTCTAGTTCTAGTTGTTACTTTAAGGTTCTGGATATTATTTAGTCCACTCAAAAAAATCAACTAAAACGTAAAAAAAAGTTAAAACCAACTTCAATAAACTAAAAATAATAAAATAATTACCATATTATTTATTAACTCCTGAAGGCATGCTAAGAGTAAATGTATCAAAAGAATGAAAGACTAGAAAAATTCTTCTAACAATTAAAAACTTTAGAAGCTATTAAATGATGTGGATTTTTTCATTAATTTTAGTTTTCTGAAGTTATTCCTTAGTATTTTGTAAAAGTTTAATCATCACCTTACTTTAGTTGACTAAGGGCCGACTTAAATCTTTAGATTAATTCATCTAATTTATTCATAGGATAAAATTAAACATTAACCAAATAAAAATAACTTTTATGGATAAAATATTTCAATTGTTTCATTTTACATTCAGTCAGGTTATAATTTATTTGTAGGATAGCATTACAGCTTATTAAAGTTCGCTGTTGAACATAGATCTCCCCATAGATTGCCAAAGTTGCCACGCTTGGCAAGTGGGTTGACAATTGCAGTTTTTTATTTTTAGTTATTATTAGGAAGACACTGCTGCCCATCTCATGATTTGTTTCCCTGTGTGACCTCTAACGACACCCATGGGATGATATGGGGTACCATCAATATGGTTGCGAATTTTATAAAAGTATAATATTAATTATAATTTCTAAACAAAATCAGAATGTATGTCTAAAAAACCAACCTGTATATAATACATATTTAAATGATTTAAAAGTTACAGTTACAGCCTATATATGTCCCACGACTGGGAACAGGCCTCTCCTCATTTTTGAGAGGGCTTTAGGGCAAGGAAATGTTTGCCACGCTGCTATATACGTGTTGGCGAAATTCACGTGTTCAAAATTTTTTTTTATTTCTCAGACATGCAGGTTTTCACACAATGTTTTCCTTCACCACCGATTAAATCAGCACTTAAAATTGCAATTAACTATTTCATTAGTGTCGGCAGGGGATTGAATCCGGGTTGCTCATGTATGTATGAAATTTACAGCAAGCGCTAACCATCTGGGCTACCACGGCTCTTTAAATGTTTTACAAAAACACAAAATTATAATTAAGTAAGCTTGTGTAAAAAGTGGTTGCCTTAAGAAATTCACATTCACATTCATTATTAATTTTTTAACTGTGAATGAAATAATAAATTGGAATCTTTTTACAATACAAATAAAACTTTCAGAGCTAAGACCACATATTTCTATAATAAGCAAAACGGCTTTGCTAATGCTAAACCAAGTAGCCTGCCTTAATTGGATATTTGTAAAATCTCAAAGGCCATTATTGCTTAAAGGAAAATATTATTTAAAGGAAATATAATGATTTCTTATATTTACGCGAACACTACACATTTTTAAATAAAACTAATTTCACGGATTTTATCGCGTATATTAACTTATTTTTTTTTCGGGAATATATAAAAATAAGTTAATATACGCGATAAAATCCGTAAAATTAGTTTTATTTAATAAAGGAAATATGTTGAAAGGGTTTAGTTAGTCAAGTGGTTTATCTAAAAATATAATTTCTATCAATATACCTAACATAAGTCAACAGAAAAAAAATGGTTATCAGTGAGACCTTACAAAGTCTCAATGGAAGTATCAAAATTTCTTATTAGATCCTAGGTAAATTTTATTGGACTTACGGCGGCTCTTCACGTTGGCCAACACCCTGGCAAATGTGTTGGCCAACAACGATGGCCATCGTGTAGAGCGGGTGTTTAAGCTACGTTGGTACGTATTGGAACGATGACTCACAAGTTGGCGCGAGACGGCGGCTCTTCATTTTGGCCAACACGCTGGCGAATGTGTTGGCCAACAACGATGGCCATCATGTAGAGCGGGTGTTTAAGCTACGTTGGTACGTATTGGAACGATGGCCTACAAGTTGGCGCGAGATCCGTCTGGTGTCGGTTTTTTACAAAAGATTGATTGAGAGTATTGGCCGCCGCGTCCACACGTTGGGCGCACGTTCAGTTTGCTACGAGCTCCCAGAGTGATTGCACGCACCAGATTTAAATTTTATATGCACGCATCGTAACTAGTGTCTAAATAACGGCAGTAACAATGAAAACTTTTCGCTTTATTATTATATATTATCGATTCGCCAACTTACAGATTGGCTCAACACTTAGCAAAAGTACTATCACCACTCAGAGGACATACAAGAGCACACACTAAGGATTCATACCATTTTGTCAGTGAGATAAAAGACCTATGTCTTACTGACAATGAAACTATGGTCAGTTTTGATGTTCAGTCTCTATTTACATGCCTACCTGTTGAAGACTGCATCTCAATTATAACTAGGAAACTAGAGGAAAACAACATGCCAGCAGAATATGCAGTATTACTCAGACATTGCCTTACATCTGGCTACCTATTGTGGAAGGAACAGTTTTACAAGCAAGTAGATGGTGTTGCGATGGGCTCACCGGTATCTCCCATTGTCGCCGATATTTTCATGGAGGACTTTGAGGAGAAAGCCCTGCTTACTGCACCAGTAACTCCAAGTTTCTTCAAGCGGTATGTAGACGATACTTTCACAATTTTACCATCAGACAAAGTAACTGCATTTTTAGAACATCTTAATTCCATAAACTCTAAAATTCAATTTACTATGGAGTTAGAGGCAAATAATTCTTTAGCTTTCCTAGATGTGTTAGTCATTCGAAATCCTAATAACACCGTGTTTAGAAAAAAGACCCATACAAACCGATACTTAAACGGTGAATCCCACCATCACCCTTCACAGTTAGCTACCGTGGGCAAATCTTTGTTGCAGAGAGCACGAGGGATCTGTGACAGCAAACACCTGGCCGCCGAGCTTCAGCACGTCAAGCAGGTTCTGCACGACAACAAGCTTCGGGTTCCGCGCCTACGTCACAGTGACCGAGTGAAGCCGGCCACAGTCGAGCGTGTGCCTGCTGTACTACCATATGTCAGAGGTGTCACAGACAAGATTGGCTACATCTTGAAGCGAGCTTCTATTAGAACATTCTTCAAGCCGCCGAAGAAGATTAGTCAGTTCTTACCATCCGTCAAGTGCAATATTCCTCTACAAGATGCAGGAGTATACAAGCTTGATTGTGAGTGTGGTCTCTCATATATAGGGCAAACAAAACGATCAATAAAAACCCGCGTAAAAGAACACATAGCTGACGTGAAGCACCAACATTCCGGGAAGTCTGCAGTTTGTGATCATATCCTAGACGGCCCCCGCCATTACATTAGATTTGATAAACCACAAGTCCTCGCGAAAGAACATCGATTCCTGCCAAGGATGATACGTGAGGCTATTGAAATTAAAAAATATCCTAATTTCAATAGAGAGGGAGGCTGGGTACTACCACTTGCTTGGGATCCTGTAATTCATAAAATTAAAACTAAACCCAAGCATACCACTGCCAGACTTCAAGACACAGTTAGTTCATTCTGCGTAGATCGGACCAAAATTAATAATTAAAAAGCTGAAGGTACTCCGGGTTAACTTTGACATCGGGACGTCAATCACCTCAGTCCCCCGTGACCACGGTTGCTGGAAAGCAACCGAAACGTCGGGAATATAAAATAAGTTAATTAAACGCGATAAAATCCGTAAAAATAGTTTTATTCAATGTGTAGTGTTCGCGTAAATATAAGAAATCATTACTTTATTTCGTTAATAATATTGTAATTTTTTAAGAGCGAAGTCACCTGTTACAGGCATTATTTTGCTTACTAGGTGACCTCGATCACTGATCATATAATGTAACTTTAATGTTTGACGAAATAAATTATTTATTAATACTATTAAGTTCGCCATATGTACTACTTTGTGCATGAAAGTGTAAATAAATAAATATATTCTATAATTATATAATAACCCTTTTTAAAAAGGTTTTGTTTAATAAAAATTTTACAACAGTTTCATAGACAGGCTTCGAATATTTTCCAGGCCTTAGTTAATTATACCTATGCCGAGGTGTGTTAATGTTTATATAGTTTACTTATCTGTATAACGTTAGTGTATAATAAAGAAATATTAAAAATTTATATAAAAATATTAAATATTAAAAATAGTGAAAATTAAATAAAAAAAATAGTGGTATGCTGTGAATAAATAAACCGCAGCAGCCGTTAGCGCATTAATAATCATTTTAATAAATTCGTCCGCACATTGGCCTGAACCGAAGCAAACTGAACGACCTTCCAACATATGGACGTGACCACAATATCTTGGCCAACGTGAAGAGGCGCCATTACATGTGCATATTTAACAATAAGCAATAAAATATAAAATTACAGCCTATATACATCCCACTTTGGCAAAAAGCCTTCCTTAATTTTTGAGAGGGTTTCTTTGGATGTCCAACAATAAGAAACATTATAAAAATTAAAATCACTTTTTGGAAGACAGTGTAATATTGCACTAGTCAATTTTCTTTATCCATTATATATTAATTGAATAAAACTACTTTTGCAGATTCAATTTGTTGTATTTTATATATGTAGTGTTTGTGTAAATATAGGAAATCGTCATTATATATTATTTACCACAATCTGATATGTGTTAATAAAAACACACTTGTTACCAAATGGTTTTTTTTTTATTGTTGTATAGGGTGACAAACAAGCAAACAGTCCATCTGATGGTAAGTGGTTACTGTGACCCATAGACATCTACATCTATCCTCTATAAAGAATCAAAATGCAGATGCGTTGTCACCCGTGAGGGCTAAGATGTAATGCCTCTTGTCCAGTAAAAAGGGTCATAAAATAACGATAACGGTCACAAACTACGAAACACAGCAGCGTTAAGCTGCTATTTTACGCTGGTATTCTGTGAGAGTGTGGTCCTTCCCCGGTCAAGCCAACCCATTCGTACTACAACTATGCTATTAATATAGCTGCAGCATGGCTCTACCACGTAGTAGTATGGTGTATATAAAGACTGCTATCTTGTGATACTTAAAATATTATCTTTAATAAGATTTATATAACTTATTTAAAATAATAAGTATGTCAAGAAATTAACTATACCTCTTCCATGATAGGACTACTAACAACTGCAGGTGTAGATGAGACATCACTACTTGTTGTCTTTTCGAAGCTTTCATGAGTACCATTTACCTCTGGATCTAAGCTAACTTCCTGCAAAGTGCATTTAAGAATTGAGTTTTATTTCATATTTGTTACGATAAGTAGTTTATTCTACAATATTAAGGCTAATTCTTTAATAATATTCCACAGTATAATAATACACAACAGTTAACATATTTAGTAGAAGAATTCATAAGTAATATCAAATGCTTATGTTAACTATAAATGTGTGAAAAATCATGTGTACACAACCATCATAAAGAAGTAATAAGTTTTATGTGTATTATAACTGGTTAAACAAGTAATTATTAAAGTACATTGAAAACTAGAGATTTCTTCAAGGTGATCTTTAAGCACTAACGTCCTTTACACTGATATCATTATTAAAACATGATTTAAGAAGAACAAAGTTTCACAGTAGTAATTACCGCACTAATAAAATATATATTACGAAGACGGACAATGAAGACTTTGATACTTGTAAGATTTAATAAGACTAAACAAAAAGGGGCGTAAACGAATGCTGATAAACACTGCTTGGCGGGTTTAGGGCGTATACGAGAGTAATATAAAAAGATTCCAATAAGATACCTGACCTGAACCGCTGAAGCAAAAAGATCTTCGTCCTCCCTATTTTCATTGTCGATGTCTACAGTGCTAAAAAGTGGTGCGTCGGTCCCTTCGGACATGTTTAACAAATTTTATCGCAGGCGTACTTATAAATGTTAGACTGAAACGATGTTTTTAAATCAATGCTCTGAAATGAAAAGATAGTTTTAGTGATAATGATGCGTTGCGTTGACTTGATCATGACAGTGACACTTTTATAATAATGACAGTGACAGTTATTGTTGATATAATTTGCCAATTAAGGTTAGCAAAGATCTTGGACCATACAGCTTAATCTGAGTTGTATTTTATTTTTATCAGTTTTTTTATTTACATTATGCACTATCGTTGTACTCATTATTCGATCGACCATGTTAGGCTGTGTAATGTGATCGGTTTTTATTTATATTTTGAATTGAATTACAAATTATTATTCTTTATTTCTACTGCTTAGCGAGCTCATTCGCTTGCAATTTTTTATAAAGTAGCTTTTTATAGGTACATAATTTAACTAGTTTCTAAATATTTGTTTATGTTATTGCTTGTCCAAAAGATTAATTAAAAAACACATGCGTTTAATATATTATTATGGTGCCGGTCAAAAGACGTTGTTAGTAAAATTATATAGCTTTTAACAGTTTACCGTAACCGTTTATTTAAAACTGTAGCTGCTTCTATTACTACAACTACGTATAAGTACAATTTTCCACAATTGGCAAATATAGAAATATTTGTATTTTGCATTTAGGCGTTATAATTTTATAACAACAATAATTACAGTAAAAACAAATAATTTGTTGACATATTCCTCTAATTAAATGATAGTAAAAATAAATCCTAAAATTACGAAACAGTCCTAATTTCCGCGATGTAATGCCATTTCTTGTTGAATAGCTGCAACGACCAGTCGTGGATACATTTTTTTTAGAACTTACCCGAACGTGGACCACAGAGACTGCTAGTCTCTACATCAAACGGCACAAATATAATATAGTCATCTTTCAGAGATTCATATTTGCGCCATTTACTTTGTTCAACCGTCTATGATGCCACCCCAGAACTAAACAAGTTATCCTTGAGATGAAAGACCGCTAACAAATTTACGCACGTAGCATTCCACACTAAGATTTGCCTCTCTCTCTCAAAGGACTGAAATCATACTGTCGAGTCTTATGCCATAGTCTTTAAATATTCCACAAGTTTCAACTAAAGAACATTTTGTAGAGACAAGAAAATTCTTCGGATAACATCATTTAGAGAACTGTGAATGAAAAACCTACTAGCACTTTTCTTACATGTAAAAAACAGCTTCGACCATCTGCATTTAGTTTCCATTTAAACTATAAGTGCAAACGACGTTACAAGTGCTTCAATGCTGATATAAAATTTGATTTTATTTACATCATTACTATCATTATTAGCTCTCCACTTGATTGAGTCAAAATCTCACGAAAACTTTATAATGTGATGTAGTAAAAATAAAATACACAACATCATACTAGGCTTGTATGGTCTAAGACCTTTACCTGCTATACTTAACAAATTGTATCGTAACAACAACAACTAATCAACTATCTATAATAACATAATGTTTGTCAAGGGATTTTGGCGGGAACTTGACCAGCCGCGGTTTGCTGCTCCTGTATTATAGTTTAAATAATAGTTTGAGGTGAAATTTGATATGTAAAAGTGGTGCTATTTTATGTATTAACTGTCTACGCATGTGAACTATTAGTGGAAACGGTGAAACAAGTGCTCTGATGGGGATGGATTCTCAAGATAAGCTGTTTGTTTGCATAGGCGCCTTTAGATACCATCGCCAACTGTCAGCTGTCTGCTGACTCAAGTTGCCGTCAAAATCTCCCAAGGGCTGCACAATGTGACTCATCAACATATTGTGAAGCAGTGAAATTCCATATATTCAAAATAAAAAAGACAAGACTGTATGGCATAGTTCCTTTGCCTGCTCTTTCGAACGAATAATAGAAACAACAACAACAATAATATTTGTCATCTGTCAAATCTCAAATTCAAAATAAATAAATACGTGTCCACATAAAATATTTAAATTCTTTTTCTTTTTAAATAAGAGAAACGGTATATTACAAAATTCTTTTACCAAAACTAATAATTTTTTGTTTGTCATGTTGTTTAATTTATTTTATAGTTTATAGCTCCTTTTATAAAAAATCGTATTAGATTTTGTTTTTAATAATTAATTCTTTTGATTATTGAAGATGAATACCTCGGATAGAAAGAGGCAGATACCGACGGCGCCAATGCCTGCAGCAGGTGTGCCAGGCAATCTGTTATCAAGTGTTGCACCACCTACAGAGCTCCCTAACTTCATTACCGCATCGTCGGTTGCTGCTGTCACTCCTATTGATGTGGTTAATACCTACTATAAATATATTTGCGTTATAATATTTAAGCAGCTACTTCGCTATTTCTGGCTTATTTGTAGTATGAAATCAAACATAAGTACTATTATTTATAGGTATTTGTCTTTATTGTTTAGGTTAAACATTATTATTCTTTAGAGTAAATTAGTCTATAAATTGTGTGTGTTGCAATACAACTTTGAATGTGCATCTCTAATTAACAAAAGTTAACAGTTAGTGTTCATACTAGTAATACTAGTGGTAAGAGTCCTTTTTTGTCTAGATGATTGTTTAGGTTGGATCTATTTTATCCTCTTATATCATCAAGCAACAGTACTTCACTGATGTCTAAATGACGGGTATTTAGAGCTAGCGTAAAAAATAGGCTGTAGGGTATTTCAAGTTAGTTTTCAGAGGCAATTATGTATTTGTAGCCAACTTTGCTTAAAATTGTGTGCAGGTGTTCATCAGTAGCTACTTAGCATCAGGTAGGCTCGTAATACGTTAGTTACTAAAGTCAAATTTAAATTACAGTTATCATACATCCCACTGCTCGGCACAGGCCTCCTTTCATTTCTGAGAGGGTTTAAAGGGAAGGAAGTGTCCTTGTGTCTAATGCATGTTGGCGGACGTCACATGTTTTCAAAATTGTTTTCTTTTTATTTCTCAGACATGTAGGTTTCCTCATGATGTTTTCCTTCACCACTGAGTATTGGGTAAATCAGTACTTAAATTGGTGGTTATAGGTATTAAAATGTTAAAAATAAAGAATAAGGTTAAATAATTGACCTTAATATCAAATTCAATCTGTGTTATGAACGCAACCAAATAACCATTTATTCTAAATATGTAAGATGTAGAGAAATTAATTTGAAATCCCGCATGTCTCTCCTTCCCTTCTTTCGCACCGCCTACCTTTCATGCCCTCGTTGCCTTAATATGAACTCTTTAATATGCTCTGACCTCATCTGAGCCAGATCTTAAGTTACTTTCTGTGCATAATACTAACTCAATTATTAAGCAAAAACGCTAGATCGGATGTTAAAAAACAAGTACAGTATTACTAATTATCAAACCTGTAGTTAGTGAAATATAGCATATGTATAAAAAATTTCATATTGCAGAAAACAAATGTGGCTGTAACAGTCTCACAACCCGTACAATCTACAGCTCCTAACAGTCATGCTGCTACAGATTTATTACCGGATAGACAGGAAACATTTAGGTAAATTTAGTGCATGTGAAATTGACTCCATCACAAATTTTTGTGTTTATCACAATTTGAATAATGGTATATTTCTGTATAAGAATTGAATTTAGAAATATTTCACTGGTATATTTAACTAGTTTTTAACCGACTTCAAAAAAGAAGGAGGTTCTAAATTTTTAGCCTCAGAACTTTTTTATAGGTGAACCGATTTTGATGATTCTTTTTTTATTTGAAAGCTGGTGCTTCTCATGTGTTCCCATATAAAATATATCAAGATCTGAGTAGTAGTTATTACATATTTAATTGATTTCGCCTACATTGATGATGTTTTCATTTTATATTGAAGTTGGTTGTACAAAATTTTTAATTTTACCACTTGCTAAATATAAAGTTGAATAATACTTTACATTATAAAATGGAACATTTAATTTGACATGGTTTCTTGCACTGGCTGTGTTATTGAGTACCAATATTGTGGTGAGAAGCAAGAGGAGTATTCCTTCTCGTCCATACATAGATGTAATGAATAGATTGAATATTTTTCAAATGGAAGCAATAGTGGCATACAGTCACACAGTCCACCTGATAGTAAGTGAATGCTGTGGCTCATAGAAACCTCCATTTATTCTCGATTAAGAAACAAAATGCAAATATGTTTTCATCCCTGAGGACTAACAATATTGAATGCCTTGTTACCTGAGACACTAACTGTATAAAAATTATGCACATGCATAATTTTTATACAATTTTTAAGTAGTCTACATATTATTTTAACTCAAATTTACCTGCATGTGTTTGTAGTTCCATTAGTAATCTCTGGTTGGTTGAATATACTTTAGTCAGACGAAAACTGTGAAAATGTCAAACTAAATGTCAAAAAAATCTTACGGCTTTCGCTAGATTAAGGCATTCCATCTTGTTTACGCGAAACGTACAATATATTTAGATCGATGACAGGCAACAGTGTCAAATCTGCAAGAAGTCTGAGACTGTGGTTGGTAATTAATCCGCGAAGATACACAGATACACAAATATGTCCCATGCAATGTAATTTACAGGCGGGTGATGATGATGAAGTAGAATTATTAGTAACATCCCTATAGATGCCGCTACAAAAAAAACGAATGAATTACAAGACAGAAAATGAAATACTATACACTTTAATATTACGTGTTATATTATAAATGTAAGAAATAAAAATAATTTATGATTATACTGGCCTAATAAGGATTAGAGATGTGACATAGTTGAAGAACGCAAGTCAGTGCCTAACGCTAGCTAAAATATTAGTTAGTTACTTGTAATTTACGTATTGTCGTTGGTAGCATTCTGCCTTCCGATTTTTTAAATTATGATTTATTTTTTAATAATAATATTAACATTGCAATAAGCCTTTGTCTCAAACGAAATTTCTATTGTAGTCCAGCTATACCGCCTAACAAAGGGGAGCCGATGCTTCCTATAAGATCTCCAGAGGATTCGCAGGACA